TTTAATCAATATTTATAAAATATAAATTTAAAAAATTATTTTATTTAATATTATATTTTTTTAACAAAATAATATAATATTAAATTAATATCTATTTAAAAAAAAAAAAATCAAATATAAGACTCCACTTGCGAACCTAAATACGTTTCACTGACTTCTCACTTGAGAAAAACGGGATTATTACTGTAGTCACATAAGAAATGCTATTTAACACTATCTCCTTTTCCCAAAAAAAAAAGAGTAAATGTCGGTAAAATGAGCATAATAAACAATGTCAGCAGCTAGTCGACGGAGATACTTAGTGTTAGTGGAGCATTAACTTTTTTTTTTTTTTTTTTTGGTTTCTTGTCCGGTATTCAAGGTTTCGTCTCGACTAATTTGGACCTGACCCGCATCGTGCACCTGGAAATGGTGGATGAGTCTTCCAGTGGAGGCTGCTGCATACACAAGGACTCGAATTCGAAACCTTATTTAAGTTGAAACAAATTGCTTACCACTTGACCCAACCCTAATTGGTGGAGTATTAGCTTTTTTAAGGCTACCAATTTCAACGTGGGGATAGGAAGCCACCTTTTTGCTTTATAAAGGTGTAATAAATAAAATATAAACCTTTTTTTCTTTGAACAAACCAGGATGGTGGGGCGAATTAGGACATGTTTCGAATAGGAAAGGACATTAAATTTATAGTAATAGTTTAGGGACTTTTTTAATTTATATTTTTAGAGTATAAATTAAGAATATTTTTTTATAATAAATTTATATAAAAACTATAAAAATAAATATTAATTTTTAAATTAATATAATATAAATAAATTAAATTAAATATTATTTTTATTTTTAAAAATTTTTTAATTTATATATTTAAAAATATAAATTTAAAAAATTCATAATTAAATATGGGACCTCACCATCCAATCTCATCAACGCACAACCCTCATTCATTTATTTATTTATTTATTTCGAACATAGAAAAAGTAGACACTCTCTCCCATTCTATCATTGTTTTCGATGATGTTGATTGCCCACCAATCTCATTATCTTACAGGCCATTCACAATGCAATTGGGAAAAGTTAAACAGAAACTCAAACAATATTGCTTACTTTTGCCATGTTCAATCACGTTTTTTTCGCTTATTGCCCTTTATTTGGCAGCTTTCGTAAGTGACTTTGAATACGAAAGATATTATTATTA